ATCTTATTGGACTATCGGAAGCGACGAATTATACGTATGTATGCATTATACAGGGTGGCATTGAAATAAGTGCTAATATTTCAAGCCTTATTGAGTAAGCTCGACGTATACTATTGAGTGGCACCAATAAAAAAATATAGGGATCAAAATAAAATTTGAGGTTATAGACCCCCCTTACCACCCAAAGTTCCACACTGTATAGCAATTCTGACGTCACCTCTGATGTTCAAATTTTCGTGCGGAAAGCACAATCACGTGGATTTCAATCATATTGATGTGCTGATTTTATGTACTCATTTCAAAAACGTCTTGTATAGGTATTTCAAATGACAAAACAATAGGTACCTTATTTCAATTTATTTTAGAATTTTCACAAGATGTGAGAGAATAATCCTTCATCCTTCATCCATGTATATTTCGTTATCCGCAAAATCAGTAAACGTCTATCATACCATGATTATTTTATTACACAACTTTCAGAATAGTGATATTTTGGGTGCCCAAATTGCCCTTAAAAGGATTACAACCCGGCCAAAAGTTTATCGTTATACTGCAGGGGTTATATGAATAATTCCCGAAAATTTTAACTCGAGAAGAATCACTATAGTAGGTAAACTGGTTTACAGTAACAATAAAATAATAAATCAGTTCCACGAAAATAATATCCTTCATTTGCCGACCAATATAGGTTCCTGACTGCAAATAGATTCAAAAGGGTACTGTAACAATGATGTTTGTGGTAAATCCTTCTAAATGAACCGTCAAACACCGACTGACCATTTTTCATTATTTCTAGTACCTATATCAATATGAGGTGACATTATAATCTACATGCCGATATACACGGTGGTCCACTTTATTGTCGCAATATGTCGACAATTATTGATAGAAGACAATATATTTCGAGAAGAATAGGGAAAAAAGTTGTAGATTTTTGCTCCACCAGGTTGTGTTATCTCCCGTCGCGTAGCGAAGGGAGACAAGAAACCGTGAGCTAAGATGTTTCCCGTGTATAATACACCATTTTTTCCTATGACAGGAAAAAGGACGAATCAATATTGAGATATACACGCAGAAAAATCGGACAAAGTAATTCAGCATAATTTCGCAGTTATAAAGTTGTGGTACTTGTGAATGCGATCGAAGTATACAATGCACCTTGACAGTAAGTTAGCTTTAAACCTCTCCCAATAGTAAACGTAAACTTTAAGATGTGGTTAACAATATCAGACATTGGGGAATGCAAATAACCTATACTTATAATATTATGATAATTTCAACTAGGTAGGTATAGCTATTCCGTCAGCTATCGCTGCCAATTTCTCTTCAATTCCCTATATTCTCCAGGTGAAATGATTGTGGAGTTTATTACTGCATCCCTAGTACACTATCAACTGACATAAATAGTGTAATGTACTGCATTCAGAAGTGTTGAATTTCTAGCGAATTAGCATACATAAATTGGGGGTGATAAAGATATACCACTATCTCAGTGAATACTCTTCTTATATATATGATTGTATAAATAACATAATTCGATTCAATGATGTCCATCTTATTTGGAAAATATACAGTATGTTAGTTAAGAGATTGTTGAGAGTATATAGGAGCATATATAATATTTCTTTAGCAAATTCTCTTTCAAGGCCTATTTGATTTGAAATTGATGTGGCTATGCTGTCTTTATACGGAAAATTATTTGATAGATAACCCATCATGATTATTTTTGAGTGTCCAATTAACTTCAATTAACAGGAACGTATATTATATATATTTTCAGTCCCCAAGTAAAATAATAAACTCATACATTTCAGAGATGAATAAGTTTTTCAAATATATTATGTCTTATTATGTACATTATTATATTAATTCAGAATTCCTTTCCACTCCCTGTATGATGAATGTCAATTTATCATACACCCAAAAGCAGAAAATTATCGACGGGAAATTTGAAGTTTAGGTATCTAACAAGAATGAAAATCAATCGAAAATGGTTTGTTAGTCGAAATTTCACAAGAATGTTTTACTTCTTCAGAAGTCAATAACTGATAAGTAATTCAGTGGATTACTGTTGATATCTTCGAAAATTATTTCTAATTGGTATGTAACCCCAATGTAATAATTATACTTATAGACGCGGGGTCACAATACATGTGCGGATCACGTTGGTAAAGGTATAATAGGTACCAATACAGGGAGTTCCATAATTGAATGTCAATATTCGAGGAGGCGATTCCTGCGCCCATTCTAAGAAGAATGTTTCATATTATCGTATGACCTAAACGCCCTAACTTTTGAGATACAGGGTGGTAGAGTTCTCAAAAATCAATATATAGCCTATACTACAATGAAAAGTTATAATTTCAAAATACCAAATACGAATACGAAGTTCATGAACTATATATGAATTGTATTTCTGAAATTTGATCTAATAAATGAAATCTGTTTCTCTGCATTGTGATATTGTCATATTAACGATATTGCTATAATCATATGTATAATTATAGTGCATGAAAAGCTTTTTATTTTTTTGAGCGAAAACTGTGCATCAGATTAAAAACATTTTGATGATCAAATTTGCTTAGAAATGATTGTGAATTTCAGGAACGATTCTGATGCCTGAAGTGCGGTATATTACAGATATTAATAAAAAACTATTAATTTTTGAGAACTTCACCACCCTGTATCTCAAAAGTTAGGACGTTTAGGTCATACGTTCATATGAAACTTTCTTCTTAGAATGGGTCCAAGAATCACCTCCCCAAATATTGACATTCAATTATGAAACACCCTGTATATACAAGGTGATTCTAAAATAGGTGGTCAAACTTTGGGCGTATATAGTGTGAGTGAAATAATTACGAAAACCTCGGTAACATTTTCTCCTGAAGTGCTCTCCAAGAAAGATACAGCCCCTCAAAGGGGGGCCTCGGAGAATGATTTTGTACTATTATCTCCACACCTTGTATGATGAAAATCTAAAATTTTGTTTATCCACTAACTATTCAGTGCCGGTTCGAATGGAGTTGAAATCACCTCAAAATTAAATACAGGGGTTTGTCAATACAGGGAGGTAGGGGGTAAAAATAACCCCAAATTTTTTGTTCATCGCAATTTCAGTTTTTTAACATGAAATTTTGAAATCTCAGGGCTATTAACATAGGAAAGGAGCTCTTGTTGAATCTCGATAAACTGAACCATTAGCGAATAAAATTTATTTTTCCAAGATTTCATTTAAATTGCAATTTTGGTATGCACTTAAGTTTAATTATCTAGTTCAAATCTTGCAACTGAATTTTCACCTACTTACTTCTAATCGTCTGATCAACTTGGAATCTGGCAGATGACAGTTGACAACGCGTTATGGACTTTTTGATAGAAAAAATATGGTGGCTCCAATGTGGCTGACCAGATTTGTGATTATGGTTCGATTCGATTCGAAATTGGTTTGTAAGGGTTTTTGGGGTTGGAAATTTTGAATTCGTTGTCGGAATTCATGAATTAAAAATAGACGACGAGCTTCGTGATTATGGTCTGATCCTATTGAAAATACTAAAATAAAAAATATTGGTAATAACATGCTTTTTTAAATTGTATTCGCTAATAGTTCATTTTATCGAGATGCAACAAGAGCACCTTTTCTATGTAAATAGCCCTAAGATTTTATAATTTCATCTAAAAAAACTGAAATTGCGATGAACAAAAAAGTTGGGGTTATTTTTGCCTCCTACCTCCCTATTTTGACACACCCCTGTATTTTATTTTGAGGTGATTTTAACTCCATTCGAACCGGCACTGAATATAGTTATTGAATGAACAAAATTTCAGATTTTCATTATACAAGGTGTTGGAGGTAATAATACAAAATCATTTCCCGATGTTCCCTTTTGAGGGGCTGTATTTTTCTTGGGGGTCACTTCAGAAAAGTATGTTACAGAGGTTTTCGTAATTATTTTACCCACTCTATATGCTCCCTAAGTTTGACCACCTATTTTAGAATCACCTTGTATATCCTCAGATATGGAATAATAAATTTTCACGCTCTGCTGTATTTAACTTAGGATACATTTTTGGAAGTATAGTTTATGCAAAGTCAGTTGAACAGATCATCAAACGAATGTCGAGCCGCGCTGCCGCACTCTTTGAACTCTCAAAGGGACCGACGGCTTGCGGTGATGTATTTTTCCAACTGACTTTGCATAAACTATACCAAGTATACCCTTACTTTGTGAGTATTTATCACCCTGTATACTGTATAAGTATAATACCTTTTCATATACATCTTTACTTTGGTAATAATTTTTGATGATGAATTCGAATTCATAATGAAGTATAGTTTTGATTTCTGATGCATTATTGGCTTATTCCTGGCCTCACTATAGCGAGATAGTTTTCGGGATTGTTTGTTTCATTCAATACATGAAACTTTCTGCGGTAGTCTATATTTCAAAGCCCTATACAATTTCTCGAAACAATCAACCCGACTCGCAACGAATCCACCACATAAAAATCCAACACAAAGTTTCAAAACAACCAATAAACCCCTTTTCCTCCTTTAATGAAAACATCAAAGCCCCATATCGACTCAGCTCCTCGCAATTACACATAAACTCCCAGCATAAAACCCCCCGAAAACCACCCCCCAACACCCTACGAACGACAAAATTTCATCACAAACAGAGCCCGGTCTTGCCGACATTAAATTAGCTCGCTAAACCATCTTTATACGTCCCATAAAAATATAATCAATACGGCATAAGCGTATAGCACCCGGTAGCTTATTAAGGCTGCGTCTATAATAGTCCATACATCCCCCTTATGCCTTAATAGACACAGACATCTACTTAGAGCCTCTAAGCGCCGCCGTGCACGAAAACCGGCCTTAGCGCGCGCTCTATACGGTCACGTGGGTGGAGCGACCAATCACTGATCGATGCGGCGTTGCCGACCAACAGCGAGCTAGCCCCGCCCAGCTAAGAGCTAGTAAAAGCGCTCTCTACCCGCCAGAAGCTATCAAACGCTACCGCTACGCCACAGTCTTGACTAGTGCTACGGAGAGTTTATAGTGTGTGCCCTGTAAAGTGTCGAAAGTGTCTGTGTGTCTTCGAGTTCGATGCATACCCAAGCCTACAAGATGTACCATCAGAGTGAACAGAAGAATTCTGCTGTGGTTTTGGACGTCATACCGCCGCACTACAACCTGCATCATGGACAACCCAGTCCCCCGCAAAGCCCTACTCAATACACCAAAGGTTAGTACCACAACATCTGTGCGTAAATAAAGTACCCACTCGACTCGAGACGTCTAGACGAGTTCCTCTATTAGCGATACTAATAGCCACTTGACAATTTCCGGAAGCTAACAGCTTACGTTTTATTTTACAGATTGCTCGAGTCCGAGCTCTCAAGACTCCAAATTGAACAACCCTACCAGCCCTTCTTCAATGAACGATCCCAACATCAGGCGGTACAGGACTGCGTTCACCAGAGAGCAGCTGGCTCGCCTCGAAAAGGAGTTTTACAAGGAAAATTACGTTTCTAGGCCCAGAAGATGCGAACTAGCAGCCCAACTGAACCTGCCAGAGAGCACAATCAAGGTATGTGTGTATATACAATCGGCGCGATTCAATTAGCACATTATGTCTGTTAGTGTTGAAACGATAAACGCTAATAGAGCTTTTAAGAGATCAAAGTCACCGCTCTCAGAGACACTGGCTAATGGACACCGATAAGCAACGAATCATGCGTTTTTACAACGTGTTAATGAGTCTCAGAGGCGGCAGTATCAATGAAGCCGACAAATTAACATCCACCATTAATGTTTATCTCTCATTTGCAGGTCTGGTTCCAAAACAGAAGGATGAAAGACAAGCGTCAACGCATGGCGATCGCCTGGCCTTACGCAGCGGTCTACACAGACCCCGCGTTCGCAGCTTCGTTGCTCCAAGCTGCAGCTTCGACCCTGCCGCTGCACTACCCTCCTCCGCCGCCGATGTACTCCGCGCCTTACCCGCGATACCACCCTTACCCTAGCTTCGGCATGCCTCCCCAGATGCACCACAACGTGGGGATGGCGCAGCCTCAGCCTCAAGGCCTGAACCTCAACCTCAACTTCGATTTTCCTCATCAGGCGTACCAGCCTGCGCATCAGCCTAGGATATCGCCGAATTCGTCGGCGCATTCTGAGCTCAGTTTGAGCCCGCCTATGCACGAGGGGTTGCTGATACCTGCATCGAAGGTTTCTCCTGTGCAGCAGACGCAGGTCGGCGTGGAGAAGCCTAAGCTGTTCAAGCCTTACAAGTCGGAGGTTTAGGGGGTTCGGGGGGGCGAAGAGTTATGTGTGAGGGGAGCTAGGGGTGTTGTGATTTTTGTACTAATTGAGATGATTTTTATGTTAAGTTTTTGTACATAGTTTTCGACTGTATATTATTAAATTATTATGGAAAATGTATATATTGTTGGAGAATATAGAAAATTGATTTTGAAAGTGGATTTTATTTGAAGGTTCTTCATGCGTAGAAGATAGATATCGCAAAAGAGTTTCAGTGAAATATGTCAAAGCAATGAAAAAAAATCTATTAAAATTTATATCCATCTGAAAGCAGAAAAATGAACGAATCGGTGGGTCTGAAACTTTTTTTCAAGTATAACAAGTAACTTTAGATAAGTATGTAGGAGTATTCCGGGTTTTCCTGTTTCGGTATTGCCATATATTTGCTGTTTTCATAGGATTCTCGAAATTTCAGAGAAATATTTTGAAAGTTGGTTCATTCACATCACATTATCTAAATAACACCGAAAAAAAATTAAGAGGCGATTCCTTGTAATATTTTAGGATACATAGATTATATGAACATGTGTCCTAGCTTGCTTCGTTTTCGAGATACATCAGGGAATTAATATTTTCATGAGAAATTATTTTTCTATTCATTACTCCGCATTGCCTTCTGATCAATTTCAATAAAACGTTGTGGTTTTGTTAATAGTGATATGGTGCTTCTTCTGGTGCAATTATATTCGAAATATTATTTCCAGTGGCGTCACAGTGGGTAAATTTATCGATATTTATGGTAAATGTCATTGTACGCCACCGGTTTTTCATATTTTTGTTAGATTGAACTATTGAAATAACAACTCTTTTTTCTATGTGTGATTTTAGTATCTAGCTCAGCTTTTGAGAAAACAATAAACATTCGATTTGACTCCAAATTTTAATGAATATATATCCAAGACTTCCATTGAGATTACTCAATAACCCCAATCACAATCATTTTGAAATTTCAGGGCTTCCTCAGTCTCCAACCATACTGAATTTTGGCAACATGAAAGCTTATACAGGGGGGTTATAAATAAAAACGATGGATACTTCCAACTTCAACATCCTGTATCTCAAAACCGGAGCAAGTTAGGAGACATGTTAATTTGGACTTTATTTGCTAGAATAACACAAGGAATTACCCCTTGATTAAGATTAAAACTGTTTTAGTTTCAATCTTCTCCTGAAGATGCTCACATAGTTAGCGAAACACGTGTCGGGGTCTTTTAAAAATCGGTTTGGTTAGTGGTGAAACAGGGTAGTGTTTTATCGTGCCAAAGGTTCCAGTCTTTGATATATGAAAACATATATTTTTCATATATAACTCACATTATAACGGTTACAGAAAACATTATCCTCAGCCCAAGTATCTTCTATCTCGAATGACTCTGAATATACACAAAACTTGTCCTGTAAATGAAAGAGAAAATATTATATCGAATTATACTAGTAACTAATAACATTATTTTTGATTACCTCGAAAAGGAGCTCTTTTTCTCTGCTCCAACAATTTGCATACAACTCTAGCATCATCTATATAGCAAAGGAGTCGTCCTAAATATAAAATAAAAAATGTGATAATCCATCGAGTGTATAGGGTTTCATTAAGGAACACCTTGTATACGTTTACAGCACTTACCTCAGTAGTATCGAAAATTCCAGAAAAAAACATACAATGGGTTGAAACAAAAACCGGACAAATTGATTCAACCTCTCATGTGCACAGTTCGATTATACTATGAACCCAATGAAATGAGTTTTTCCAAGTTCCATCACGTTCACCAACGATAACGAATACACAATTATTTCCGAAAGAGATCCAGTCTTAAGTATCAAGAAAATGATTATACCCAGACTCCATATTGTTGAACTTGAGAAAGTTGTTCACAAATCTTGAATAAAACGTGGATTTGTGCAGCACAAATTTACACTGAACTCCAACTTACATTTACCTACACTTCAATTCTAACTAAAAAGTTGAACCTCTTGTTACACATTGTTAATTTTATGCAGAGAAATTGAAACTAAACTTGAACTATCAAGTTGGCCAACTTTCTAGTGCATGTAAATGTCAATTTTTGAGACTATACTGTGCAGGTCTTGGAGTCGAATTTTATAACCTTCAAATTATGATTGATGTTTTTTGGATTCCTTGATACTTTTACCTGCTTTCTGCCAAAATTATTTCCAAGTGAAGTATATTTATTGTAATGGCAAACGAGGATAGCCCATTGATTGATCTCATTTGCCCTTTGCTTTTATACACTACACTGAATACATGAGTATAGTTTTTGTTAATTTTGCTGCATCATAAAATACCATGAAAATAGTTCAAGTTGAAGTTTGGTTTTAATTGTGCTGCACATAAATCCAACTAATAATATTATGTACTAACAATTATTAAAAGGTATATGTGAGATTCAATATATTGAAATCATCGCAATTGTTAATTTGACTTCCTATACTATTGTTTATTGTCATTTGGACGATTTATAGAAATGTTTGTCGATATAGAAACTATATGTGTTCCTGATAAAAATATACAACAGAAAAAATAAATTACATCTTCTCATTTCAGATAGCTTTGATGCTATATATACTGCGATTTTAGAAAGTCCTTTCAGTTGTTTCATTAATAGAAGCTTGACAACAAGATCGAAAGTTATAGTAGTAAAAGTATCATGAAAATGTTGATGAATTCATCAAAATCTTTTCAACCATAAAGGAAGTTGTTGAAAGTGACAACTCATTTTCAACAGTGTATCAGCAGACTTTCTTCTCGATTCAGGCATCTTTGGCTTTTTGATTTTATCGCAATTATATCTGAATATTATCATTTTAAATCGCTTTTCGTGGTATACATACCTACCATGGCTTAAGAAAACCTCTTTTAGTGGTACCGATAGACTTTAACGCGCAATGATTCAGGTATTCTTAATCTCACTGATCCTATTACCTACAAATCTCATTTCCAAATACACCAAAAGTATCTAACCCGATTACAATTAGAATGATAATTTCACTTTCCAGAAATAATTTCAACCTAATAATTTTATGGCATTCTAATTTCCAAAAGGGATCAGAATCCTTCAAGTTAAACCGATTACAGAGGAAACCTTTCGGGTTCAAAGATTGCTAATTCCAAGAAAATATTTACACAATATTTGGGGATACATTAGCTTAGTAGACAAGCACTATTGGCCGACAATTAGCATTATTAAGTCATGATTATTTTTGCTTAGTGTTTTTCCGAAGTGTCTCAACAAATAACGCGCACCTGCGAAATACTAACAGCTTTTTTTTAAATAATGATAATTGTTGTTTGAACAGTAAAAACGAACGATCAACTGGTGATGGTTGTGAAGAAAAAAGTGGCAAAGAACAGTTGGTCTTCATCATTTCATTCATTATTGAAATCATTTACTTGAACGAACAAAAAATGTCGGATACATGGTTGTATACAGGGCGTATCATTATCACATGGAAATTTGTAAACTTTACTATACCTACTAAATAAAATCCAGTACTGAAAATACCTATGAAGATTCAAACCATATCATCAACTAGATAAAATGTGCCTCCTGTCTAAATTACAGGCCATGCGTCAGTTTTCCCGAGATACAATAAACTATACAGTGTGTCCCGCTTTTCATGAATACACCCTGATATCTCAGTTATTAATGATGTTATTCTCTTGATGAAATTCAAGTGGTGAATGTATGTTAGAACAATGGAGTATTTAGTAGAGTGAACAGTTTCATTCACCATTGGCGTCGTGTAATGTTGAGGGGTACAAAAAGGCCATTATTCGGGATGAGGATATTAGGGCTCTTATTTTAAATAACAGTTTTTATCAGATTCAGAATCGGCATCCCCAAAAACCCCCCAATTCATATTTCATGACTACGCCCCAAAATCAAAGTTATATTAATGATGTGATTTTCTCGAAACTGTGATGGTGATTCTATGTTATTAACGCACGATGTTCTTTGAACATTATAGGGATTCCCTTTCGTGCGCTCCAAGCGATAAAAAAAAATTAAAAAAAAAATAGAGATTTTGAAATATTTTATTTTAGCTCTTGGGATATTGAAAATATGAATTGGGGGGTTTTTGGGTATGCTGATTATAATACAGATAAAAAAAGTTATTTAAAATGAGTCCTAATATCCTTTTCCCAAATGAAGGCCTTTTTGTAAAGTTGTTTGTAATAGATCATTAGCAGCAGACTGGAAGTGAAATAGCTCCTGGCCCGAAATAAAAATAATTGGGATGCACTTTTAGCAATTGATCTCACGTGATTTTCCTAAGAAAGGTTATTGCTGATAGTAATACCAAACATCGAAATGGATGTCTTCAAAGGTATATAATATGATGGTTACTCCTGACAAGCTTATGTTGGGCACAGTGAGATCGGCTTTTCTAGAGAAAAGGCATGCTTGTGTTTTGTTTGCATTGAAATCTATACCAAGTTATTGGATCGCCATTCGAGAATTGTAGCCAAGTCCATATTTATGTTGTCAACATTTCATCTTCGTTCGTTTCTGATTTGCCTGGCTGGTATTGAAGCCCTGGAAGAGAAGGCGGTATGGAGGGTACTATCATCCGCGAAGCTCGATCGAAAGCCTTGTAGATATCAAGTGCCACGGCTAAGGTTTCACTGGTTTCACTAAACTAGACAGAGGGATATATCTAATATAGGACCATTATCCTTATTCACAACTCTATTACTCTTTTTAACTATTACTTATAGGCTTTCATATATGCATCTAATTTACTAACATAATTAACTTGCTCAACTAATTTGCGCAGGTTAATAGTATATTAGTATATAATTTTGTATCATCAAAAACGCAAATGTATACAAATTTATATGCGTATAGAGTACGGTTCAAACAACTGTTCAGAATGAGAAATAGTTTCATTACACTTTTATTGTCCACCAATAAACCATCAGGAAACATATCCATTAGAAGAATTTTGACCTTCAGAAATGGACCGTCGCACAATGGCTTTATACTCGAAATAAACCGCATTTCTGGTCAGTTTGGGGTAAATTTGTTACCATTGGAACTAATCACTTTCGTTACGGGGTGGTCAGTTTACGTAGTTCGCACAATGTTGATATATTGTTCGATTTTCGGAAATGTTTGATTTTTCGACGTTAATT